GTATTCTGGGCCTTTCCAGCTTGTAGGAACAGGCAGCTCTCTAATTCCACTGCAGGGCGGACTGCACTCCCTGGCTGGCTTGGGGCCTGGCAGACAAAAGGCAGGCCACAGAAAGACCTGGCCTCCACAGCACGGCCCCTTCTCCTCTCCTGGGCCCCAGAAACAGACTCTCCCTCACCAGGGAGGAAGAAGTGGGGAGGTACGGTCTTTTGGAAAGTGCTGCTCTTTGAGAGAAGCCCTCTCCACCACTGGTAGCTGGATACACAAGGGGCAAAAGAATATGGTGAATGTTTACATTAAAACATTTATTACAGTAAAGACACTTTGCCCAAGTCCCCTTCAAAATCTTCCCCCTTGCTTTGAACACACTCGTCCTATCGTCCTTGCCACTTTCTGAAGTGCCCTTTTGAGTCTTTGTGATCAAAACACAGTGAGCGCTGCTGTCAAGTGCCATCCAACGGAAGGGGCTTCTAAAAACATGCAGCTGTGTCCTCATCCGGCAAATCCCAGGGTCTGGGGCTTTGTGACTTCTGGCTCTTCCCTAAGTCAAACTGACCACAAGAAGTAAAAATTTTGGATGGATTCAGGACATCGAGGCAGCCAGACAGGGCAGCTAAGGACACTCAGGCAGGCAAGAGGACTCCAGAGCTGCTGCAGAAAGTGGCAAGGAGAATGAGATGAGTGTATCAGAAAGGAGGATTTTGAGGGGATTCACAGCAATGTGCATCTCACTGTAATGAATTAAAAAAATTTAAACACAGCTCATCTTCCAATCACACGTTGTACACCTCCTGTGTGCTAGGCAGTCAACACTCACTGCCTTAGGGTCATGACTTTGATTTTCAAAAGTACCCTAGATTGGGCAAAAGACTGTGGCCGTCACACTGCTGGTACAAGGACTCGCGTGCTGACGTAGCTTGGCTGGCAGAACCCTCTGCCTCCCGGCCTTGCGCAAGCCTGGAAGCTCCCTGACTCCTCAGTGACTGGAGCATGAGACATCCTGTCCAAGTCCCAGCCAGCAGGTCACAGGGTCACACAGCAGCTGACCCTCCCTGGCCTCTCCACCACCTCCATGGTTATGGCTATCAGGGTTATCAGCGCAGTCACCTCTCCCCATGCTGGCTGGCTCCGGTTACCTTTAGCAACCTTCGGAGCTACCGGCCTGCTCAAATCCGATAGCAGTCAAGTGCACACGTGCAGAAAAATCAGTGTCGCATAACGACCTTCAGCCTTGTACGGGGCTTGTTTTACAGGCGGGGGAAACTGAGGCTTGAGCAAATCCCCTGGGCAGGCCCTGAACATGGGTACCCAAGCTGCAGGGTAACTGTACATCACTTCTGGCTGAAAGGGCAGCACAACTCACTTCTAGGCAACTCTCACTGTGCTGCACAATCCAAGTGACTCAGCTTTTTCACTGGACAGTGCAAGAGCCAGGCTTCCTCACTAAACCTCAGCCGCCTCCTGATATTTAAAAATCAGAAAGTATGGCTGGGTGTGGGGGCATCTGGAATCCTAGCTATTCAGGAGGCTGAGGCAGAAGGACTACCAGGTCAGCCTGGTCAACTTAGTGAGACCCTGAATCAAAATAAAATTTAAAAGTCTGTAGCTCAGTGGTACAGTGCTTGCCTAGCATGCATAAGGTCCTGGGGTCTGTCCTCAGTATCCCCAAAACAAAATGAAACAAAATTAGAAAACACGATCTAACTGCAGAGAAGTTCAGATGCCTAAATACTGAAAGAGCTCAGTGAGTTCTAGCTGAGTACAAATACAGTAAAGCACCAAATGCAGAACCTGGGTGTGGTGGAACACACCTCTATCTGAGCACCTGGGAGGCAGGACGATCACAGTGAGTTCAAGGTCAAGGTCAGCCTGAGGTCAAGGTCAGCCCGAGTTCAAGGTCAAGGTCAGCTGGGGCTACATGGGGAGACTCCCCAGTCCAAACAAAACACCTAACAAAACACCACATACTGCCTCACAAGCGAAATGTCCCAAGTTCAACCCCCAGTACCACAAAAAAAAAACCACATGAAATCAGTGACCAACAACAGGAAAAGCTTCCCTGACCAATGCTCTCCCAGGGCAAAGAATTAAACTTGAATTTTTAGTCATGGAATCTAAAACAGGAGAACCATTTCAGACCCATCAGATTGGCAGCAATTAACACCTGCTAGCCAGGCAATGTCTGTATTCCCAGCTGCTGGGGAGGTGGAGGCAGAAGAGCAAGTTCAAGCCCCGCCAGGGCAACTCAGTCAGATCCTGGCTCAAAATTTTAAAAGGGCCAGGCATGTAGCTCAGTGTGAAGGCCCTGGGTTCAAACCACAATACCACAAAAACATCTGCTAAGATCTGGCATTGGTAACTACGAAGGGATAGACCTCACCAACCTGAGGGGGGCAGAAGCCGATGCAGGCACAGGGGAGGGCACCTCCTCAGCACCCAGCAAAGCAGGACCTTAGGACCCCGCAAGGGCTTCTGCTTCTGCTTCTCCTCCTCCTGCCCAGGAGAAACCCTTGCAAGAGCCTGGGAGCTGCAAAGCTATTTACTGCAGCAATGTAAGAAGAGGAGGCAGGTGGAGGAAGAAATAGCCTCACTTCATTGTCTCTCGGGAGATCAACACAGAGCACTTAAAATGAATGAACTAGGTTGGACAGGGTGTGCACGCCTATAATCCCAGAATTTCGGAGGCTGAGGCAAGAGGATCCCAAATAAGGTCAGCCTGAGCTACACAGCAAGTTCAAGGCCGGCCCAGACACTGTAGGGAGACCCCATCTCAAAAAACAACAAAGCTGGGTGTGCTGGTACATGCCTATAATCCCAGTACTCTGGGAGGCTGAGTCAGGAAGACCGCAAGTTCAAGTCCAGCTCTGGCAATTTAGCAACTTATCAAGACCCTGTCTCAAAAATTAATGGAGGTTAAAAAAAAATTAATGGAGATTAATACCTTTAAACAGCACTGCTCATAGATCAATACAGAGTATTATTACAAAATGAGTACAGGAGAATTACAGGGTGATTCAAAGTCCCTGTGAAAGCTGGGGAACAGGTACAGAAGAGCTGAGGCCGAGATGAAACCCCGACACCTGCCAGGAGAGGACCCAGCCAGGGCTCAGGTCTGCAAAGGGGCCAAGGCTGGGAGATCAGAGTGAGAGGACTGGTTCAAGCTGGGCTGGGGCGGACTCAGTGGCAGAGCACAGGCCTAGCATGCACAAGGCCCTGAGTTCATCCCCAGCACCGAACACAAAAACAAAAAAACACATGCTGGGCTTTGATCCCTGCAGCCCTCCACACTGCATTCTAACTGGGGCCGAATATAAAGAGCCACACGGCCTATCTCAGGCAGCATGTGGGCTGACAGGGGAAACTGGGGGGGGGGGGGGCCTGGTGTCGGGACCCACACACCTCCCCAAGATGCACCTGACTGGCAGCCTCACCTTCGCCACACCAGGGGCAGGAGAGGATGGCCTGATCTGATCCTTCAAAAGGCCCATCTCAAGTGCTCGCCAGGTGTGTGCAAGGTCTCGGGCCCCATCACACACAAAAGATTAACCATCAAAGAAAAAAGCTGTGAAAATGAAAATTCCTCCTCCCTCACCAATGTAATACTTTCCACTGCTCACAAGATCACAGGCACCGACTGGTGGCTCCTCCCCTCCAGTTTCCGCCCATTCTACAGAAAGCCTCAGTCCAGTCAGCAGAGCAGGAGCTCAGCCTGACCAGACTGGAAGCAGCGTCTGGAACCAACATCAAGGGGAGGAGGGAGCCAGGGCTGGGCGGGTCGAGTCAGTGTCACCAAGTACCCAGAAGTGGGGGTCTGGACCTTTCCCCAGGGCAGAACCCCAGCTCTGGGGCAAAGATCGCGGACCAGTGGAAGCCACTTTCCCCCAGGTGCCTTCCACTGTCTCTGGGCTTGACCCTTTCTAGAAAGCTCAGGGCTCTAGGTCTCCACGACCAGAGTTATGGGAAGCCATTCTCCACGGAGGAACAGGAGAAAGGAAGCCCACCCGGCACTCGGGAGGCTGAGGCAGAAGGAGTGCAGGGAGTTCAAGGCCAGCCTGAACTACATGGGGACACCCAGTCTTTAAAAAATAAATGGAGAAAGTCTTCATTTTCCAGCACCCCTGAAGGCCTCTTCATTCACTAAAATCAATGTAAGGTTCAGTCCTGTTTTTTCCCCCTTCTTTTGGTTTTTTGAGACAGGGTCTCCCTATGCAGTCCAGGTTGGCCTCGAAATCCAGGGGATCTTCCAGCCTCAGCCTCCCAAGTGCGGGGATAACAGGCATACACCATCAATCTGACTGCTCCGTTCTCTTCTGGCCTAGGCACCCGGGGACCAGTTTTCCCAGGGCACAACCTCCCTTTCCCGCACGTATGGGTTTCTGGTTTGGGGGCTGCACGGGGCCTTGGGCCAGCCTCCTCCTCCCCTCCGGGCCCGCCGCTGCCGGGAGAAGGCACACCCAGACCTAGGAAGCCGAGGTCCAATCAAGTCCCGGACCTGGTGTCCCCACCCCCACCCGTGCTGGCCCCGCCGCTCCGGGTCTCTGCCCGCGGGAGAGCCGAGGCCTGGGCTCCCGGCCCCCGCAGGTCCCCGTCCTCCCTGCCGGCTGCCCTTCCGGTTTGCGGCTCCGACTCCTCCTGCACGCCCACCCAGCCACCTGCCCGTTCTGCTTCCAGGAGGACCCGGGTCCTGGGGTCCCAGGAATGGGTTGGGGTCGCCGGCAGAGTCGCCCGGGGAAACTTCAGGATGAGAAAAAAGCAAAATCGAGCAGGAGAAAAGGCCGGAACACAGAAGCGATCGATGCCACCAGCCCTGAGCCCGCACCGGGGACTCGGAGCTTCCTCCTCGCAGGCTCCCGGGACAGCCCCGGCGCCCGGGAAGCTGCGACCGCCTGGCCCGAGGTCCCCGCTCTCCGCCCTGGGTCCCCAGTCCTCGATCCCCGCTGCCGCGACTCCCCGCCCGGAAACCCCGCTCCCGCACGGCCCCTTCCTCCTTTCGCACTCACCGAGCAGCGCCGGAGCCGCGAGCAAGCAGAACCGGGCCCCACAGAGCAGAACCGAGCCAAGCCCAGCTCCCTGCCCGCCCCTATTTATCAGCGTGTCCCCGCCCACCGACACGTGACCTGCGTGTCCCACCCCCGTCCTGCCACGTGACCCGCTCGCATTTCCTCCCAGCACTTGACCTGTGCGACCCCGCGGCCCGGGCGCCCAGCGCTGCCCTAGTCCCCGAGACCCCGCCCGGGCGCCGGACCTTGCGATCGGGCTGCGGAGGGCGAGGAGACCTTCCCCGGACCCGCTCCTTTCCAGGCCGCTGGAGCCTCTGCGGGCAGAGCACCCCAGGGAAGGAAGGCAGGTCCTGGGCCGGGATCTGCCCGGCCCCCTCTGTCCCCTCAGGCGAGCTGTAGGCTCCGGAATTTCTGTTGCCCGAGGCGGTCATGGAAGCCCGAACCGCTGCGAGTCAGCCCTAAAACCTAGGTGTGGTGGGGGGGGGGATTGAACTCAGGTCTTTGCGCTTGCACCGCAGGCGGCGAAGCCACTGAGCTAAATTCCCGGCCCGGCCGTCGATGTGTCATTCTTAACCTTCCTCTACTCTCTGCTTAGGAGCCAGCCATGAAGAAATTCCTTAAAAAAAAAAAAAAAAAAGTCAAGCGCGGTGAGTGGCTCACAACAGTTCCAGCTACTGGAAGGCTGAGACAGGAGGGTAGCAAGATGGGGCCCTGCCTGGGCAATTTAGTCAGACCCTGTTTCAAAATAATGAAAAGGCTGAAGATTTAGCTCCGCACTCCTCAAGTTCAATTCCAAGAAAAGTCTGGTATTTTATTTGAGTTTTTGTGACAATAAGAAATGGTTCGCTAAGCCAGATGGGATGGTCCTGGGCACCCTACCGAAACAGTCTGTGTGTGTGTGTGTCTCTCTCTCTTCTTTTGTTGCTTTGTTGTTTTTTTTTTTTCTTTTTCGGTACCGGGGATCAAACTCAGGACCTTGTGCTTGCAAGGCAGGCGCCGAAACCACTGAGCTAAATCCTCGGCCCCTGTTGCTTTGCTTTTTGAGACTTGGTCTCACTATGAACCCCAGGCTGGCCTCGAACTCCCGATGATCCTCCTGCCTCAGCACCCCCGAGTTTTGGGGTCACACCCGTGGGCCACCACACCCGGGGCTGGGTTTCTGCAGCAGGTGCCTGGCCACCAGCAGTCACACAGTCCCTGAGCCTGTGGAGACATCAGAGAGCTCTGGGCACAGGTGCCCACCTGGGGTAGGAGAAGGAGGAGGAGATGCCAGAGGCCAAGCTGAGCCCCAGTGGGTGGGGAGAGCTGGGGCGCAGGATAGCAGAGAAGGAAGCTCTAGCTCAGGGGCCCCAGCCTGTTTATCCCAGCCTGGCCCGAAACGTCACTGCGTCCACGCGTCGCCTTCCACGAGGTGTTGGATCCCTGTCGCCCCTTAAGGGGTCCCAAGGTGGCACAGGCAGGAGGACACGTGGACCCGTGGCAAGGCGCTGTCGTGGTGACAGCAGGATGAGAGAGATGCTCTGCTTGCTTCACCACACTGTGTTGGTGGAGAGGGAGAAATCAAACACACAGAATCCTAAGTAAATTCTACAGAGCAGAGGTTGGCGCTTCCTGGGCGTGCTGGGCGTCCTGGAAGCTTTGGGGGGAAGGTAATGCCGTGCAATCTTTTCCCTGCTGCCACCCTTTTTTCTTTATTCTCCTCTCCCTCCCTTCATGGTTCGCTCTGTTTCCTTCCTTCCTTTCTTTCTCCCTTCCTCCCTCCCTCCTTCCTTCCCTCCTTCCTTCCCTCCTTCTCTTCCCCAGGGTTTGAACCCCACAGCGTTAGAGAGGGGCCTTGACCTATGTGTGTAAAACGGGCTGCCTGCTGCACATGCAGGAAGGAGGCCAAGGTATACACCGTGTGGAAATAAAAACATAAACTCGCACCAAGTGACCATAGCAGCATTATTCACTATAGCTCAAAGGTGGAAGGCATCTGTTCGTCAGCTAATGAGTGGATAAACAAAATGTCATATAATCACAAAATGGACTATTACTCAGCTGTAAAAAGGGATGAGGTATTGCTGCGTGCTGCAGCATGGGTAAACCTTGTACATATTATGCTAAAAGAAAGGAAAAAGGGCCCATGGGAAATGTCCAGAAGAAGCCAGTCTAGGGATATAAAGTACAGTAGTGATTGCCTCAGTGGAGGGGAGGTGGCAATTTGGGAAGTGATACTAAAAGGCATGTGGTAGTAAGATTGCTCTCAGCTGGATGCAGGGGTGGCTGCATGTTGCTGGGAATACACAAGATTCTTGAATTGTACTTTTATTTTGTGTCACGTAAGTCGATTATTATGTTTAGTCCTGAAAGTATGTTTCCCCTCAAAAGAAGGGTTCGTGAAAGTTTCATTATACCCGGGAAGAATTGTACAATTTATTTATTGTGTTTTTTGTCTGCTTTTTGAGATGGGGTCTCAGTATATAGCCCAGGCTGGCCTTGAACTTGTGGCAATCCTCCTGCCTCAGCTTTCTGAGTGCTGGGATGACAGGTGTGCGCCACCACGCCAGGCTGGAGTTGCACATTCTACATGGGTAAAAAGCGTGGCAAAGGGCCAGGGATTTATCTCAGTGTTTTCACCACCTGCTGTCCAAGCGCAAGGACCTGAGTTTGATCCCCGGTACCAAAAAAAAAAATTTGTGGCATGTCAGTTAGATTTCAGTACTGATGTTATGAAAAAGTTGATTGGGAAGTCCTGGAAAATAGGAACCGTTCTTTTTGTTTTCTGTCAATTTGGAGGTCTCTTGTCTGAAGAAATACCTGAGTTGTTCTTCACCGGCAAGTCCTATTAATCTCATTTCCTCAGCCCTCTTGGTGACCGTCTCTGTCCCCCGGAGGAGACCCTGGTGGGGCAGCTTCCGACTGAGGGTCTTGGTACCCACAGGCTCTGCAGGGCTGACAGATGCCTGGTCAGTCCTCTTCCCAGGTGTGGCCTTTGAGGAGTGACTCCGGATCTGGGGGTCCTCTCTTTAGCCTGCAGGACCCAAGGCAGGGCCTCGCAGTCCTGTGAGCCCTTTGGTCACTGGGGCTGAGCGGAAGCCTGCAGCCTGAGGCCCCGCCATGGCCGCTTTATCCACCCGGACAGCATCCTGGTCCCTTGGTCCGACTTCCTTCAGCCCGGTCTCCACTGCTCTCCACCTGCGCTGTGGCAGGAGTAGATCCTCACGCTGGGCTTTCCAATGAGCCGTCCAACCCTGTATTCCCCAACTTCACAACCTTTGACATTTAGACTGAAGAGTTTTTAAAAACGGGAGGGGACATAAGAAGAATTAAGAGGTGCTGTGTACCTGCACCGACCCCCATGGGGACTGCAAACATGGACTGAGGGAAAAGCAAAAGGACTCGGGCCTCCTCAGGGGCCCCTTTGGGTGTTCTCAGGGCCTGCTGTTGGGCAGTGACACGTGACCACATCTGAGGGGTTCAGGCTTCATTTTGCAAGGGTCTCCGGAGGCTGCAGCAGGGCTGCAGCGGGCCCGCACCTGCCGAGGGGAGAGGCTGGTGGTGCCCGTTTGTGCCAGCTGAGGCTGCCTGGCCTGGACAGTCAGCCTGGGTGACCTGGACGGCAGCCAAGGCTGGGAGTCCCTCCCGGGGCGCCCTGAAGCAGACGGGAGCTGAGTAGGCCAGGGTGACTTAGCAAGAAAAACAGTGAGACAGGGCCACCCAGGAAGGCTTGGGGCTCCGCTCTGTTTCTGGAGGACGCGTGGGTGACAGGTGGCACCTCCATTACCCCCGTGGCTGCTGACGGCTGTGACGGGGACTTGACTCCAAACAGCCAGGCAGCCTCTCTGCGCTCGGCTGCACCTGGGATTCACTGGTGTGACCAGAGCTGGGCTTTCCAAATCCCTTCGCCGGAAACCATGCGAATCAAAATACTGCCAGGGAAGGGAGGAAGAGAAGTAGCTCCCGTTCCCAGGGCTGAAAATCGTCTCCGATTTCTCTTCTGTAAATCACACCCGAGTTTGGAAGGTCAGGCGTGCGTCGCACCATGGGGAGCTGAGCTGGGCAGAGGCAGAGGGGCCGAGGACCTGCTTCCCGGGACTCCAGGTGGGGGTCCTCCCACACGGCGAGCCTCTGTGCAGGGCCCAGGGAGGAGCTCCCAGGGGGACGTGTGACGGCTGCTCAAGGACAGAGCAAAGACCCCGAGTGTCACCCCGAAAGCTCCCGGTTTGTCTGAGGTGCCTCTTTAGCGGCCCCTCACAGTCTCCACACACTCCCAGTGCTGGGGCTCCGGATTTGACTCGGGAGGGGTCACGGTGCAGTGCTTCGGACCTTGGAGACCCAGAGAGGAAACGGGACATTCCTGACTGGATGTGTCCCGATCAAGCAGGGAGCCGGGAAAAGCGGGCAAAGGCCGGCGTTCCCTCCACGGATGTCAACAAGACTCAATCCTGTGACAGGTGCCGCCCGGTGCTGGGAGTTGAACTCTGCCACATCGAATGTGAGATCCATCAGTAATGAAAGGAAATTTCCTCAAAGACAACTGCAACAGCGAATGATCTTTCCTCTGGTCATTTAAAAACGTCTCTGCGGTATTTCTCGGTCTGTAAGTGGAGCCACTGTTCGCTCAGGTTTTTATCCTGTAAGCAAACATCTTTATCGGTCTTACATGGAGCGCTGTGTAGCTGCCTGCCTGCCACCTGAGTCTAGAGCAGACTTTATGCTGTCAGCTGCCCCAGAGGGCGGGACCTACCGACTGCCTGTAGTCAAGAGAGGCTCAGCAGCCCGGGTAAGAAGGACTCTTAGCAAGACTCTGTCTCAAAATAAAAAGGTCATTTTAAAAAAGAGCTAGGGATGTAGCTCAGGACAAAGACCCTGGGTTCAACACCTAGTGCCACACACACACACACTCTCACACAGGACTGTACATGTTCAGGATGGGTATAATTTTCGAAAATATTTTCGTTCCGTGGTTGGCTGAATCTGCTCTCGGAACCTGTGGCCTGGAGGTCCTGAGAGCCGTGTTTAAGAAGGGTCACTCTCCCCATTTCCTTACTCCGCAGAACTGGCAGCCGCCGGAGAGAGAGGAAGGGAGGCTGGGGCACTACCAACGTCATGCGCCAGTCACGCGCCACAGGGCAGCCGGACTGGGCCAGGCGCGCTTCCCATCTTGCTGACGTCATCGGCACCGCCCCTGCACCTCTGCCCCCCCCCCCCCCCCCCGCTGGGGACCAGCGAGGGCGGTCGGTGGCAGAGCTGGGTCCTCCGTGGGGCTCGGACTGGCCCAGCTGCTGCTTCTGTCCCGTGGGGACAGCTCCGGTGACTGTGCTCTCCCCGAAAGACAGCGCTGTGCCGGCATCAGCTTGGGGCCTGGAAACCTGAGAACGGGGGCCTCCTACTCCAAGCTCTCAGATATTTTGGCCCAACCCACAGTGCAAGTGGGAGAGGGGTTTCCCGGCCTGGCCAGCAGGGTTGGGGAGGAAAAGGGTAAACTGTCACCACTTCAGGGCACCGTGGCTGCTCGAACTCACCTCGGTACCAGTGATACGTGCTACGGAGAACAGCCTGAGAGCTTGTGAAGTTTAGAAACCCTGACAGGCGTGCTGCGGATGGCTAATAAATAATTCTCAAAAATGTGTTGATCTTGGGCTGGGCGTGGTGGCAACATCTGTAATCCCAGCACTCGGGAGGCTGAACCAGGAGGGTCAACCTGAATTTCAGGCCAGCCTGAACTACACAGTGAGGTCCTCTGTCTAAAAAAAAAAGCAAACAAAAACCAAAGTATTGATCTTGGCCGGGCGTGGTGGCATAAGCCTATAATCCTCAGCACTCTGGGAGGCTAAAGCAGGAAGATTGAAAGTTAGAGCCCAGCTTGGGCAATTTAATGACCTAGCACTAATTAATTGTGATGTTGCTCAGTGTGAAGGCCCAGGGTTCAATAGCCAGTAACACACACCCCCCAAAACCCAACTTAGCGGGCTGGGTGTGTGGCCCAGTGGCAGAGCAATTGCTTAGAAATATCAAGGCCCTGGCCTTTATCCCCAGCACGCAGGAAAATAAATTCCCTGGTCTTTGCAGCATGTTTGTTACTCATGCATTCTGCTTGGGCATGAGAAGCCCACGTTGAGACATGAAGTCATCTGGCTGCCAGCGTTTGCCAGCAGCGCTCTCCCTGTTTGTTTGTCTAGGGCTCCGCGTGGGCAACACGACTTCCACCGATTGCCCTGCACCCGGACTGCACCTGTGCGGCATTTTTCTGCCCTTAGCCAGCTCGGCTGCGAGTGTGTGGGGACTCGGGGACCAGTCATCGGCACCACGTGGGAGCTGGCAGATCGCACGACAGGAGCTGGCTCCCGGGCCCAGGAGCATCTTTCCTCCCAGCCCGGGCTTCCTGCCTTCCCGCCAACCGGAAGTGCCCTGCCGGCAGTGCCCCTCAGGGTCTCCTGCAAAAAGGCCAGGTGTGGGCGCAGGGTGCCCAGCCTGCGGCAGTGTGAGTTGCTGGCCAGACCATGCAGGGGCTCGGCCCCTGAATTCTGGGATTGCAGCGTGCACCGCCCGCCCTCTGGTGCTTCCAGCCGAGGCCCTCAGAGTCTGCAGGCCTCCAGGTGAAGGGGAGGCGCCCGGGACAGGAGGCTGCAGGGTCCGCAGGTCACCGCCGCTCCTCCTTCGTCTCTTGGGCGTGCTTTGATCCAGCTGAGAACAACCCCCTGTGGACTCCCACGCACACCTGGACCCTGGTGAGTTCAGCAGACTCTGGAGCCTCGGGGTCTGCGGCGGGGGGTGGGGGGTGGGGTGTTCATCACGCAAAGCTCCTCCGTTTTGAATTTTTTTCCCTGGAGCTGGACATGGAATTCAGGCCTGACTCTTGTGCTACACCCCGACCCTGGCAATGCTCTTTGGGTTCCACTCAGTCCCCACCTCTGCGTTTCTTGGCCATCTCCCCCAGCTCCCCTTCAGTGGCCACACCCCTTTCCTTCCCTGCCTGTGGACTTTCATCTCGTGAGGCCTCCTCTGCCCCGGCCTGGTCTGACCAGGCTGCAGCGAGGTCCTGCACCGGTCGGCATTCTGGAGCCAGGTCTGGTGGTACATCCCTGTAGTGCTAGCACTCAGGAAGCTAAGGCAGGAGGATTGCCCCAAATTTGAGCCCAGCCTGAACTGCATACATTGGAAGACCTTGTCTCTCCGAAAAAACAAACAAACAAAAAACCCTGGGGTCACAGAGCTTGCTTTTCTATTTTTACTTCTCTGGGAAAGTTCCTCTTGGAAGTTCCAGCCTTGCTCAACTCAGAGATGGCTGGGCAGGGCTGACGCTGGGGCATGCACACCTGAGATCCAACATGATGCTCCCTGACCCCCAAGAATGCTTAGAGCCGCTCCTTGCGGCACTGTGACCCGGTGTATGTCCCTGAAGCCTATAATCCTAGGAGACCCCGTGCTACATTCATACCACCTGGTTAAGATGCTGTCACATGTGCTCCCCTCTGGGACTCTGAGTCTGTGTCCGTGCTAATGGTAACACCTTCCCCAGGCTTGCAGTGTGTGTGTTTGTCTTGCCTGCCGTGTTCCAGGCACAGTACTGGGCTGGATTGGAACTTGTGACCTGGGCGGGGGGATAGATGCATATCCATCAGCCCAGCTGGGCACAGTGGCATTTATCCCTGGGCTGCAGACCTTCTGGTCAGGCAAATCGGGCCATCAAGAGCTTTCTTACTCTTTCAAGGATCTTCTGCTTCCCATTGTGGTGCATGCCTGTAATCCCAGCACTCTGGGAGGCTGAGACAGGAGGATTGCCACAAGTTCAAGCCCAGCCTGAGCAACAGTGATTTAGGAAGTCCCTGTCCCAAAATTTAAAAAAAATAAATAAATAAGGGCTAGAGTGTATCTCAGTACGAAGGTCCTGGGTTCAATCCCCGGTACTGGAAGAAGGGAAAGGACCACATGCAGGTATTCCAGCATGTGGCTTGAAGCAGGACTGAGTACGCCCTGACTGAACGGTGTGTGGGAGGATAAAGGTGTGGATTGTACTTTGGGTTTGGGGCTTGGTGCCGCCACTCGTGTTGGAGCTGGAATCTGGGTCCTGGACTCTGACCATGCAGTGCTGGAGCTGTCTTCAGAGCTGTCAGACTCAACCTGTAGGAGGGGCTGCAGCTGTCTGGCCCGGGGCAGTAACCCAGAGGCAGGCAGACCCCAGGGCGGGGAGCAGGTGCGGTGGCCCTGAAGCCCCAGCCTCATCCTTGCTGCCTGTGCTTTGAGACTCACCCGCGCCGGACCCCACCCCAAGCTGATGCCAACACACTTCAGGTGTTTACCTGATAGGGATCATTGGCTGTGTCACCTGGGCCCCAGTTGACCCGGCCAAAGTCACAGTGCCAACACCCGAGACTCCCTGGCCCCAGGCTGCCTGCGGGGTGTGGGCCAGGCATGGAGAGCGAGCCTGGGGCTGGGGTGACCTGGCAGGCCCGAGCTGGCTGTGTCACCCTGGTTGTGTTCCTGGCAGGCACTGGGCCTAATGAGGCGCTGCCTAGTGTGCATCCCTGCAGCGGAGCTGCTCTGGAGGGGCTCCGAGGCTTCCGGGGTCTCCAGAGCAGCCTGGGGACTGCTGCATCCTCTCCGAGAGGGGTGGGCAGCAGAGGACAGAGGACAGGGCTGGGTGGCCCAGGGGCCGGACCCAGGGTCCGCGCCTTCCAGAGGCCACGTTCTGTGGAAGTTGCTCAGCGTCTCCGGGCCTTGGTCACATCCTGTGTGGCATGGGGACAGCAGTCACCTTGTGGAACGGTGCTTTAAAGGTTGAAATAACGTCAGTGAGGGCTTCTGGGCCCTGTCAACCTTCAGGTCCTGGCCATCGTCATGGTGACCGTTGTCAGGGCAGGGCCCCCACTCTGGTGCCCATGAGGACCTGACTGAGCTCGGCCTTGTGTAACTCATTGGGTATAGGACAGCTTCAAGGTCACAGCTCCAGGGAGGGCACAGGATGTCCCCATCGGCCATGGCTTCCTTCGGTTCCACCTGGTGCTCTCTGGCTCTAGGACTTGAACTGCAGGTGACTCCAGCCCTCAGACTCATGGGTTCCCCTCCCCTCGGGCTCCAGGGCCTCCTGACGCTAGGTGGGTGGTCAAACAAGCCAGGCCCTTGAGTGAGTGTGGCCTGGCCTCTCCCTGGGATTGGGAAGAAGTGTCTGCTCTGGGAGTAGCCGCCCTTCATTGGCCAGTACTGGCTGGGTCCCAGAGTGTTCCATAGGACGTTCATTCACTCGTATTAACAATAACAACAACAACAACAACAACAACAAAAATGATGTAATCCCAACACTCAGGAGGCTGAAGCAGGAGGATTGCCACAAGTTCAAGGCCAGCCTGAACTACATAGGGAGACCCTGTCTCAAAAAACAACAACAAAAGATAACATTCAGTTTAGTTTAATTTTTTTTGACAGGGTCTCGTTATGCAGTTCAGCCTGGCCTTGAACTCACTGTGTATCCCAGGCTGGCCCCACCCTTGGGGGATCCTCCTTCTTCGGGCCCCCCTGAGTGCCGGGATTACAGAGTGCCACCAGGCCCAGCCTCATTTAGTTTAAGATTTTCACTGGCTCCTGCTCCTCCCTGTTCCTCCCCCATAATCTCATGGGACCACGTGGCTTGTGGGTCCATCACGAACAGAAATGTCAGAAATGTCAGTCTGCAGTGCACGGATGTAAGTCCCTTCTGCAGGTCACAACACCACGTTTCCCGATGAGCAGAGCCCCTCAGTGAGAAGGCAGCTTTCTCCATTATTAATTTGTCACAGTCCGAAAGAGTCAGACAGTTTTAGAGTTGAAGGCGCCGCCAGCACGGCTGTGGGTTGCTGATGTGCCATGCCATGCAGGATGTGGGGACACAGAGACTGGTGGGTCTCAGCTCCTGAGGACTCCAGCCCCAACGCCTGTCCACAGTGTGGGTGAAAGGCAGCAGCGCAGCAGAATTGTCTCATGCAGACCTGGCCCTCGGCAGCAGGTGTGGGCGCCCTTGCTCCTCCCTAGGCCGTTCAGCCCTGCATTTCCTTAAAGGGACCAGTCTTGTCCTCGGCCCCACCCCTTCCCCAGGTTCTGATGTCACTGTCTGCCCGCCCTGTGAGGCTGCCACGTCCTATGCTGGTGCCAGATCAGGCCACTGCTGGTGTTTTGGGTGTGTGCCCAGAATGTGGATCATTGGGCTGCTCACGAGGGTTCCCGTCCTCGTAGAGCTCTGCCTCCAGCACACACCTGGACCATTATGAGCACAAGCAGGTGGGGGAGGGCAGCAGGGCCCCCATCAAGACCTAGGCCGCTTCCTGGGAAGCCAGGGGCTCAGGTTGGGAAGGGCAGGGTCTGCTTTCCAACATCCGGCCTTCAGGCTGGTGGTGGAGTCGATTTCGCTGGCACTGGACTCTCCTGCGCCCCTCTGTCCTGGGTTGCAATGAAGAATAAATAACATCAGTTCTTAGTGTGTTCTTGGCCGGCTGTGGCAAGTCTGACGGAGCAAAGCTCTTGTCCTAAATATTTTATGAGCTTCTAAAAGCCTGACCTGTGATTTGAGCTTCAGAGAAGACTGCAAGATCCACCCCCTGGCTTTTTCCAGGTCAGCCCAGTCTCTGTGAGCCCAGAACGGATGTCTTTCCCCGAGATCCTAGAAGCAGATGCTTTCCTCTGGGTGCAAAGTGAAAAGGACTTTGGAATTTTGAAAGGCGGATTTCAAAACAGCCATCCGTTTGTTATACTGCTCTAATCTTGTTGATCTTTTTTTTTGTGTGTGTGTATCAGGAATCGAACTCGGGTTCTTGCACTTGTGGGACAGGCAGTGGAACCACTGAGCTAAATCCCTGGGCCCTAGTTGATCTTCTTTTATTTTTTTTTTGGTACTGGGGATCGAACTTGGGTCCTTGTGCTTGCGCAGCAGGCAGCGAAACCACTGAGCTAAATCCCCAGCCCCAGTTGGTCTTTAAAAAAAAAAATTCTATTTCTTATTCTTGTGCTAGGGTTTGAACCCAGCTCCTCCACACTGAGCTTGACCCCCAGCCCTGTTTTCTATTTTGAGAGAGGATCTTGTTAAATTCCTAAATTGTCCAGGCTGGGCTCAAGCTTCTGATCCTCCTGCTTCAGCCTCCCAGAGTGTGGAGACTGCAGATGTGCACCACCACACCTCACTAGGATGGTGCTCTTATTGGAAGAGCTTCACAGGCCTTTTTGGGGGCCAAGCTTTTGAACTGTGCTCTCCTGGCCCTTGCTCATGAGGGCAGGCGACCTCATGGGAAGGGAGTTCCATCTTCCTGGCCAGCTGGGGTTGGTCCTGGGCATCACTTGCCTCGCAGGTAGTTGACGTAAGTGCTGCTACTCCGAGGAGCATCGGCAGGGAGAGACAGGGCCCTGTGCATCTTTGTCCCCTCTCCAACCTGATCCTGGCCCTGCAGCTGCAAGATCTCCCTCCCTACCCCGGTACTGGGTATTGAACCTAGGGCCTTTGCATTGGGCTGTATCCCCAGACCATTTGTCATCATTATTATTAATTGTGAGATGGGTCTCACCATGTAAGTTGCCCAGGCTCGGCTTGAAATTGTGGTCTTCCTGCCTCAGCCTCCCGGAGGGCTGGGATTACAGGCCTGCACCTCCACATGGGGCTCAGTGTGCACCCTGATGCTCAGAGGGCCTCCTTTTTCCCTCCTGCTGTCCCCAGCTCCCTCCTGTCAGAGTGGACTTCTCAGGGGAGCCCCTGCCAGTCCCTCGAGAC